TAAGCACGGCAGGTTGTAAACCTGAGCAGTTGGTTACAAAGAAATTGCAGGCAGTTGCTACTGATTCATTACCAAAAGAGAAGCAGTTCCAGCTTTCTGGGATAACCCATTCACAGGAAAATGGGATAAGCCAACAATCCTTTCCTGAATATGTGTCACAAACAAGTACACAGCTTGAGATAACCTTTGATAAGACCAGCTCAGTCACAAGGATATCAGAACTAGATAAACTGAGAGACAGTAAACTTCTCAGTTCCCGATACGAAGACAATCACGAAATGGGATTAGGGAAGCACCTGCATCCTTTGGAGGTACCTTGCCCATTTTGATGACATTTGATATTGCTGTTTCTAGCATTCTCCTCTTAAATTTATTTTATGCCTTTCTTCTGTGCTGTAACTACATTATCATATCTGTTGAAAAACATCAAAATTGTTTTTAAAAAATCCGGTATGCATTGATTGAAATTATATGCTGCAAGTACAGATCCGCACATGACCAGAAATTGCTTATCAGTGTAGGTGAAACATAGATCCCCCATTCCCTAAAAGACTGTTTATTTAACAGAAAGAACCTGATATAGCAGGTTGTAGGAGGCAGGAGGATAAACATGTTATTTGTTCACTATCCTCCACTTTGTCCTCAGCAACGTTTCCCCAAGATGGGATTGCAGACCTGTATTTCCATCAAGACCCAAGGAGGAAGCCAAAACATTAGGTGGCCAAAACAAGGAAAGTTCACGAGTTTCCAGTGATGTTGAAGGACAGTTTTAGCCCACAGATGCACCAAAATTATGTTAATTATTGCATTGTACATGTAGGTATGTGAAACCAGGGAGTGAGTCCCATTGAACTCAATGGGATTTGCTTCTGAATATATATGTTTAAGATTTCAACTATGAGTATATATTTTCTTCAGCTGAGGGAAGGAAAACATGAATCAGATTGCTCATATCTGTATGAGACATGTACATCTATTAAGGAAAGGAAATGATTTTGCTGTATTCCTGGGATTATGTCTGATAGTACAGTGGCTGCCCTCTGTAACTATTATGAAAGCAGCAAAACCAGGAGAGCCTGCAGACACTGTAAAGGTTTCTACATAGCTGAACAACTCCCTGGGTATGCAGACAAAAACGACTTTGTATATTGACCAAAAGCAAAAGAATCACCCACCGTATTTGAATATACTCCAGTAGCCCCAGAATGTTAACAGCAATTGAGAGTCATATGAATTTAAACAAAAGATTGGAGGGGGGGGGTGAAGAAGAGTTCATTTGCTTGCTTAAATCCTTGAGAATGTAGAATTCTGGAAGAGGGGGATTTGTGAGTCGGGGAGAGGATTTCCAAATTATTCTCTCATCTAACAGTTCCTGAGCTTGTCCAGCTTTACTGCTCAGATACATTCATACTGTCAATACTAATAAAAGTAGCTGATGTCTAGTGTTGCTGTTCATATTCTGTATTTTTCTTGGTGATGGGCTTAATAATGTGTTTTCTAAATATATATGTACAAAATCTTTCATTGTGTCAAAAATTCATATTTACAGAGAGTGAACAGCCAGCAGTATGGTGTACATGTTGACGTTACTACCTTAGATCAAGAAAATGACAAGACTTTTGGTAATGAAGGAAGACTGCTTGAGGGATACAGATCTTCAGAAGGGTTTAGGAGTGAAGATGCTTCAAAGATGAGTTCCTTCTTAGAGGAAAAGAAAGCCAAGGAGGTTGATATGATTCCTTCTGATTATGATAATATCAAATTTCAAGGTCTCCGACAAGATGTAACTGCCAGGCAGTTGATTGAAGCCAAGCTACTAGACATGGTCACAGCTGAACAACTCCATTTAGGGAAGAAGACCATTTCTGAGGTTCAAAAAAATCTTGACAAATGTTTAACTAAGCCTACAGCAATAGCTGGGTTGTACATTGAAAGCAACAAAGACAAGATCTCATTTCCTTCTGCAGCTCAGAGAAGGATAATTGAAAAAGTGTTTGTATTATCATTGTTAGAAGCTCAGGCTGCCACTGGTTTTATCATTGACCCTGCAACAGGGCAAAAATACTCTGTTGATGACTCAATCCTCAAGGGGCTTGTTGATCATGAATACAAAAGCAGGCTGCTCGAGGCAGAAAAAGCAGTTCTAGGATATCAGTTTTCTGGTAAAAAACTCTCTGTCTATGAGGCAATTGAAACCAGACTCTTGGAAAGGCAAAAGGGCAAAAATATTATCGAAGCCCAGATTGCATGTGGAGGAATTATTGATCCTGTGAGGAGTGTGCGGATTCCACCTGAAGCTGCTGTACAGCTGGGCTTGCTGAATAACACTATGCTGAAATTTTTATATGAACCTTCCAGTAATAAAAAATGTTTTCAGAATCCTAATAATAAGCAAGCCATGTATTATAAGGATTTACTGAAGCTGTGTTTGCTTGACATAGATAGCAAATGCTTCCTGCTTCCTGTAGGGGAAAGAAGAATAACCACACCATCTGTAGAAAAAATTCATAAAATATCTGTAGTAGATGTTAAAACTGGATCTGAAATGACCTCATATGAGGCTTATAAAAAAGCGCTGATAGACAAAAGTACTTACTTGGAACTATCTGGGCAAGAATATCAGTGGAAAGAATCCACTTGCTTTGATCCCCAAGGAAGCTCTTACCTTCTGCTGACAGATCTGAAAACTGGAATGCAGTTTAATATTGATGAAGCGTTAGGTCAGGGCAAAATTAACAGGACGGTGGTCAGTAAATATAAGGATGGTCAAATCACAGCAAATGAGCTTGGTGATGTTTTACTAAGCAATTCCAAGCCATTGAAAGATGTGCATAGCCCCATTGCTGGTGTCTGGTTGTGTGAGACAAATGAGAGAATGCCGCTTTTAAAAGCTGCTCGCAAAAATCTTCTGGATAGAATGACAGCACTAAGGTGCCTTGAAGCTCAAGCTAGCACTGGAGGCATCATTGACCCTTGTACAGGAAAGAAATATAGTGTGGCAGAGGCCTTGCAGAGGGAGCTAATTGATGAAGCAACTGCCAAGCACATTCAGCCATGCGAATTGGCCTTTACTGGAATTATTCATCCTATAACCAAAAATATTATGTCAGCAACTGAGGCGATGAATAATAACACCCTAGACAAGGAAATGGGTACTCGATGTCTAGAGTACCAACACCTGACTGGTGGGCTGATAGATCCTAAATCTCATTCTAAATTGTCAATGGAGGACGCAATTAAGAATGGCATTGTTGATGATATCACTGCTACAAAGATGAAAGATGATAAATTCTACTGTCAAATCATTACTTGCCCCAAGACAAAAAAGAAACTGACATATAAAGAAGCCTTAGAAAGAGCCGTATTTGACTGCCATACCGGTTTACGATTACTAGAAGTAGCTGATCTGGTTACTTCAGGAATCTCTACCCTTTATTTTTCCTCAAAGTAATAATATAACAATAGACAGTAGTAATTCACTGCCCCATCCAGAATCCACATAGGCCATGGAAATTATTCTCCTTGATTTAGTTGGGTTATATGACAGGACTCTTGTGAAAGAGGTGGGAAATAAGGCTGATTTATATAAAAACTAAAGTGCCATGACCTTGTTTTGTGAATAGGTTTCTGTATATACCAGACTTAGTGCTGATCCTTGCCTGTAAACTGTTGTATAATCAAGTCATAAGGTTGGGACCTTAATGTGCTTAAACTGTAACTGTCCCTGGTTTGTATAAACAATATCAGCTGTTTTATTTGTTTACAATACTGAGATTATTGGGGTAACAGTGTGTGGTTATGCTAACTTTTTTGGCATTCCAAGTGATCTTCAACCATTTTCAAAAGTAAAGCAGTGTGTCTTAATTGCTTAGATACCAATGTATATGATGTAATGTGCTTTAAACAAACAAGGGTCATTTTTCTTTCAAAATTAAAAAGGGAACTAAGCTATGTATTTAAACTCTCCTTTTAAAATAAGTGGGATGTAAGAGTGCTTACATTTGTGCATGAACATAAACAAACCAGCAAAATGTATACACTAATAAAGTGAATAAATATATTTAAAAGGATACTTATTTGCAAGTGAAAAGGTTAGTGTGTGACTTGGCCCAAAGATTTTAAGCGATATGCTTTTAAGATTCTCAGTTACTCTAGCGAATTCATGTCTGTTAACATGACTAATATTTTCTGTTCTTCCATTTCTTTGTCTCATTTTTTACGGTTTTAAAAATTAAAAGCTGAAATTGACTATAGAGTTTTCCCCCCAGTGCCTTTTACATGAAAAACTGGTAAACAAATTGTATTGGTGTCAAAGCTTTTGAGTGTTTTATGGCTGATGTTGGTATCTTCATCAACAGCATACCACAGGGTTGGCTGTACTTCTAAAGCAAAGGTTGCTGATAAATTTTCCACATGCAGACACTTGTTTGGATTTGCTTGTCTGGGAGGTTTTTGTCATGTGAATATGAGTATGTAAATATGTACTATAATGGCTATTTTGATCTCTGCAAACATTTCTAATGAATCAGTTTGGTTAATAAGAACATAAGAACATAAGAGAAGCCAATGTTGTATCAGGCCAGTGGCCCATCCAGTCCAACACTCTGTCACACAGTGGCCAAAAATACCAGGTGCCATCAGGAGGTCCAGCAGTGGGGCCAGGACACTAGAAGCCCTCCCACTATTGCCCCCCCCAAGCACCAAGAATACAGTGCATCACTTGCCCCAGACTGAGAGTTCCTATCTATACCTTGTGACTAATAGCCACTGATAGACTTCTGCTCCACATGGTTACTTTTTAGTTGCTGTGATTTAAAAAAAAATTCTCCTGCATGGTGAGAATTATGTAATCATAATCAAGATACAATAAAACAGAGCTTCTCTAAATCATACAACCTTGGCCATAGTATGCTTGATAATGTGATTGTTTCTTGTATAGCTATAACTTCATGCTACAGCCATTTAAAAATATATATATTTTTACAATGCACATTTATCAGAAGTCAATGGAAGAAGAAAAGAAAGAACATGTTGAGAAAGCTGTGGACTTAATGAAATGGGTCTCAAACATCACCAAGAGTCTTAGCAAAGGCGAAGGAGAAAGGCCTGAAAAAGCAGATTTTCTTAAAAAACAGGTATTAAAACAATGTGAGAGGAAATAGCACCAATTCCATGAGCCTGTATTATGCACAATTTGTTCTTTGTGTCTGCTAAAGAGTCAGATGTGACTCTATCATTCATAGCAGCAAGTTTTGAAAGTTCAAGCCCTGTGACACTGATGTCCTGTATTGAGTCCAGCAAAACCAAGTTGCTTGTTGCAAAATAAACAGGACTGATTTGATTTACATTCACTACTTGCTTTTTTGAAAGACTGCATGCAGAGCAACATCAAAGAAAAAAGTAACAACATATGCCTAGTTTGGATGCTATTCTTTCTTGCCGTCTCCCCTGGTATGTTGGAAGCGCAAGACCACATTTTCCTGTTCTGCTCATCATGCCTGCCCCCCCCAACACCATTGGACATTCACAGAACATTTTAATAGCATGTGTACATGTAAAATCCAATGTCAGCTATCTGTTCACACAATAGATTCCAGAACTGTGGTGGAAAATCTATCACACAGCTTGTGCCTGTGTGATTTGGATTTTAAATTTTTCTATTCATTTGGGTGTTTAAGGGTCTTGAATGCAGGTCAGGCATGGCCAGTAGGTGAGATGGAAAGGTGCACTCGCTGTCCTCAGAAGCATGTACAAAAAGACAAGAGCACATAGCGGTGCAATCCTAAGCAAACTTATACCCTTCTAAGCTCTTTAACTTCAGTGGGCATAACTCTGTTTAAGATGGCACTTTAAAAATATGACCTATAACAAAAAAGTTGACAAAAACTAGTTTCCTCTGAATTACCTTGATAAACATTTATCTATAATTCTTCTCTAAATTCTTTTGGACCTGCAAATAACCTGTAAATTGCTTGTTGAGAGCTGTGCCTGAGGTTCTCTGTGTAGCTTTGGGGATCCTAAGCCAAGAATCCTGAGTCTCTTGCCAGTCTGTTTTTTTAAGTAAATGTTTGACTTCCATTGTTGCATCACTGTGTTGGAATATAAACTGACAATGCAACCCCAGTGCTGACCAAGTTGTCCATCCCTATTTTAGTTAATATACTGAGAATGTGCTTTAAGTTCCATAACGTCTGTGTAGTAAACAAAATAGTATGAAGAATGCAGATGATAATGTTTTAGTAGGCCCTTTATATAACTCTCAAAAACTCTTTAGCAGTGTACACATCCCTCCTTCCATATCCATAACTACACTTTTTAGAGCCTTTGATGTGACTATGCGGATTGAATACATTGAATTTCTTTTAAGGGTCCAATATAAATAATGTGGGGTGAAGTGATCTTATGCCAGTGAGTTGAACTCACTGTTTCCTTTCCACTAACGTAGAACCTTATTTTCTGTTGAAGCAAAGCTGTTTCTCCAACAGAAGATTCTTCACTTAGCAGAATGGAACTGTTGAATCGAAACCTGTGGTTCCTATGTGTAGTCTTCTCCAATCCTACTTGTCCACAAAATTTTTCATGCTGAGTGTTTACTTACACATCTTAAAGTTCTTCCAGTTCTTAAGAACATAAGAGAAGCCAATGTTGGATCAGGCTAATGGCCCATCCAGTCCAACACTCTGTGACGTAGTGGCCAAAAATAACAGGTGCCATCAGGAGTTCCACCAGTGGGGCCAGGACACTAGAAGCCCTCTCACTGTTGCCCCCCCCGCACCAAGAATACAGAGCATCACTTGGCCCGGACTGAGTGTTCCTATCTATACCTTGTGACTAATAGCCACTGATGGACCTCTGCTTCATATGTTTATCCAATTCCCTCTTGAAGCCATCCATGCTTGTAGCCACCACCTGTAAATTCCATGGGTTAATCACTCTTTGAGTGAAGAAGTACTTCCTTTTATTCATTCTAACCTGACTACTCAGCAATTTCATTGAGTGCCCATGAGTTCTTGTATTCTCTACCTGCTCTATCCTATGCATAATCTTGTAAACTTCTATCATTTCACCCCTCAGTTATTGTTTCTCCAAGCTAAAGACCCCCGAGTGCTATAACCTTTCTTCATAGGGAAAGTGTTCCAACCCTTTTATCATTCTAGTTGGACTTTTCTGCACTTTCCTCAATGCTATAAGATCCTTTCTTACTGCTTAAATAATATATATATTTTTATCCTGGATGACCTACTGTCTCATACTGCACTAATTCCCCAAAGCAAGTTCCTGAAAGAATTATCAGGAAATACGGGTTTTAAATTGTTACCTTAAGGAAGTGCATAGTGCTTTTTCAAAAGTTTGACTCCCTTAAGTGCATTTTTATCCAGCCCTTCTTCTAGTGCATGCAAGAAGGAGTAATAGAGTTGCGCTTCCTTGATGACAGTATGTAAAAAGTGAGGGATGGATACACCTGTTTACAGCTCTTAACAGTGATATAGTGTAGTAACTTGCATCATGAAAATTCAGTGCCATCATCAGATGGTATAAAGAAAGAAGGGATACCTCTTTTATATGACTGTTACCAGACCTATCTCTTTCAGTGAATAAGAGAACTGCATTTTGACCACAAAAAAGATGTATGCATTATACTTTAGACATTTCACTTCCCTACTGCAGTCCTTCACAGAGAAAGCCACAATATCCCCTTGAACTTTTAGGCCACAAGTGCCAGGAAATAAGTAGCCCTTTTATCGGGAATATCTTGAATATCTATAACCCCCCACATTCTAGCATAGCCTCCATAACAGGACTTCTCCGGGTCTAGCAAAGCATTCAAATACATATCTGACTTTAAAGTAATTTGGGATAAACTATGGGGACACTGTTAATGAAAAAAAGAAATATGAAATTCCTCCACCCTCAGTATTGGCTGACAGAACTTTCTTAGCCCGTGCCTAGTAAAAACAGACAGTCAATTGAAGATGATTTTAATGGCTTTCTACTTCATTGGGATTATTTCTCCAGAAAACGATGTTTTCAGGAAACTGGAGGTGACGTTTTAGAGCTGTCATTGCCTCCAGTAGAAAGTTAATTTCTTGTGGCCTGTTGTAGTCTTTGTTCAGGCCACATTTGTTTAGTATTTCTGGGTATGTTATGGAAACTCTAAACTAAGCATTACTGCAAGGCGCATGTGAGCATTTTGCTGTGATTGTTTTGCTGGCAGGTGGCTCTGAAATGCCCAGCCTGCCTCTAGCCCCTTCTTTTTAAAGACAAAGTATGAACCAAACTGGAGCCTAACCAGCAGGTCTGCTGCCTCCCCTCCAGGTCATCAAATAACTGGTCAAATGGGGGCAGACCAATGTTGGGTGTTCTGCCCTCCCCTTAAGTGCTCCAGCTTAAGGCTGGAGCTTGTTATGGATGCCGATTGGACTGACTACAGTGAGCAAGACACTCCCTTGCCCAGTACTCAGAGTAATTTGTGTATGATTTCTAATTTCCATGCCCTTTAATACATAAATCTTTACACGTATTCATGTATTTCTTTTTAAAAAGTCATAGAACAAAGTTGACTACAGCAGTTTCTGTTTACAGTCTGGTCTAATTAGTTTAATTTCCATGAATTCTTGCAGGTAAGGCAGGGGTGGAATTAAGAAAATTAAACAAAGACACCTTTTTCACCACATCAAAACTTCTATGTACCACGTTACTTATTACAATGATCAAGCTTACCAGTACTAGTGCTACATTTATAAGAGCAAAGGGAAAGTCATCCTTTTGCTCATTGGAAACAATTCTCAGTGTGCAACCACAGAAACCTGTAGGCAAATGCTAGAGCCCTATTTTTTAATAATTCTTTTCTGTTTGCTTAATTTCTTTCTGGAACAAGATTGATCATAATTAGTTCATCTGTTCACTCTAGGTAGACTTGGAAGGCTTTAAACTAGAGATGGGCACGAATCTGCCCGCGATCCTAAGTTTGCTACTAAAATCTTCCAGGTTATAGTTTGCAAACTGGGGTACATGCAATCTTGCCCCCTTGACCCTCCCACAACCCTCCATGTAGTTTTCGGAGGTTCGTGCATCTCATGGTGGGAAGCGGTGGTGTGGGGTGAGAGGGATCACTGAAATGGCTTGCATCTATTTCAGCCTAACAGCTGACGAGTGCACCAGCTCTGCTGTTAGGCTGAAATGGATGCAAGCCATTTCAGTGATCCCTTTCACCACCACCACCCACTGCCAAAACATATTGTTTTGATATTTAAGGTAATTTTTAGTGATGCAACTTTGAGAACTCCTAGTTTGGAATAAGATAAAAATAAAATATCAGAATGTTAGGATTCATTCAAGAGTCACAACAAACCAAAGTTAGCAATAAGACTAGTTTATTACTGGAACATGTGATCCCTTTCCCTTCTCCTCTTTCCATGTTCTCTTCCCTAGCATGTTGGAGATGAGAGTGAAGAGATCCTTGTTCAATCAAACTACATTTTGTTGTGGTATCTGAGTATTTATTTATTTGTCAGATTTTTATCCCACCCTCCCGGCCCAGGCTGGCTCAGGGCGGCTCACAACAGAACAACATCTCAATGAGCATTTGAATAAATTAGGGTTTGTTCTTTTCCAGTAACACAGATTCTAAACTAAGATTGAAATGTGGGTTAGAAACCTAATCACTGGAAATGAAACCCCAGTTTGGGATGGCACAACAAATTAGAACTGGACAAGAATTTTTGTTCAAAACTTGGTGTGCAAGGGGAAGGGGGGGGGAGCCTAAGGAATGTATGTACCTGAGAATAAACAAGGTATGTGTTTGACACAAACAAACAAAAACTGTTGTGATGTCTAAATAGTATGAGTTAGATTTCTTCTCTCTCAGAAAACAAAACCACAAATTGTCACATTTTATTGGACCAACCGATGATAAAAAGATGGAAATATACAGTCTGGAGTTACACAAGCCCTGTTCACATGTTACAGTGAACTCACATACAGTCTGCATGTATGTGCATACACCTGTGTGTAAGAAACAGCCAATGCGCAGTCACTTTACTAATGAAACTGTGCACTGATATCCAGATAGATGTGGAGTTTAAATCACATGTTCAGCTGTACATGTATTGAATGTAATATAAGAACTACTCAAGTGTACATTGTACATGGACTGTATGTGTATTCCCTGCCACTTGAGAACAGTTAAAGATGTCTCCTTCAGTCAGTGGTGTTGAGCGTGTACGTGTTGGAGAAACAAAAACTGACGTTACTGCCCAGGCTGGTATCACTTTAGTAAGGCTGTGCTACTTGCAACCCATCTAAAATAAAGAGAAGAGTTTACAGTAAAGTTGTTTAGAAGAATAAAAGCTGTTGGCAAGTACCTTTATTTGCATGAAAATCTTTGCCATCAAATCCACAAGAATCACTTTTTTATATGTAAGCGAGTTCTAAGACTCCTTAATAGAGAACAAGACTGCTAAATGATGATGACTTATTGCAATACAATCCCCCCAATTGTCTTGATACTGTTAAAAAAAAATGTAATGTCTCTCATTTTCCATTGTTGAAACCTTTTATTTATTCTTTTGGATTAAGTAATTTCCTAAAAAACAACAACCCAATATCCCAAGATTGCAACTGTGGAAATCAGAACATACTTTCTTGTTTTTCAGATTTCTTCATTTGAACTGTCAGCCAAGAAAGAACAGATAGCAGAGGCTTTGCAAACAACACAGTCATTTTTAGCAAAACATAGCGATAAGTACGTACATTATTGTTATTGTGTTTTGAAATTAGGGATGCCCATTTAAATTACATGGCAAGGGGTACCACTGACACCATCTTGTGGTGAGTGGAATCAGTATGCAGGTCACAGATCCTGTATCTGTACTCCTGAATCTTGAACATATGTAACCTGGCCGGGGAGGGGGGGACTTTTTTCATTGTCATAAATGACAGCCTTTCTTAGAATTACATTGGAGCAGAATGTCTACACTAATCATAGCAATTGTAATTCTATGGCTTGATGAACTGGTGAACCAGTTTGACAAAATAGTTCAGATACCGAATTGTAAGAGAGAAGTGGATTACTAATATAGGGAATGATCCATCAAACAGTAAACATTCATTATAACAGAAAAAAATTAAAAGTATACTTGAGCATATTTGTTACTCTGTGGGACCGAAAAGTGCCTTCCTTTGTGTGGATTGTGCCCAAGGCTTCAAATTCCAGCTTTTAACTGGGATGGCCCCTGACACAGCATTATCTCACAGTTTCCATCTTCTCTATGTTCTGCTAAGTCTTCTTTCAAGGGAGAAACACTACCTCCAATGTAGAACGACCTTTTCTGATTGAGAAAGGCTTCTTCTGATGGGGAAATCTCCTTCTTTTTTGAAGGAAGTCTTTTTTCTGTTGGATGAAAATTTGGTGGAAGGAAGTCGTAGGATCCAACCCTGTGTGTCTCATGACTGCATCATGGGTTAGCACTTTGGGTCAAACTTGACCTGAGGTGAATGATTAGTGATCGGGCTTCTGGAAAGCCACCTCCCCAGGCTAATTAGTAGCCTCACAGTGGCTGTTGTAAAAGTCTCAGAATGGTAATTGAATCCTAACAGGTCCCAAATCACTCCTCTGAAGCCACATTTAGCTCAAAAAAATCCCATCCTCACTTGGTGAGTATTTGTGTGAAGAAAAGTACTTGTCATTTTCCTCATCTAACTAATTGCACCTTTTGAAGTGGTTTAAGTCACTGGAGAAGTATGGGAGTAAAGTACTAAATACTCTGTTCTCCAGTAACTCTTCTCCAGTCTAAAGAGCCACTGCAAATTAGCTTAGGGAGGAAAAAATCCTGGGAACTCCTAATACAGTGTGGCTCACACCTTTGTGAAGTGTCTTTTACTCTGCTTTGCAAATATGTGCTAGCCTAGCATATAATAATATTTTAATTAAATATAGTAATAATATGTTTGAATTCTTCTTGATTGTTCATTTTATTATTATAAAATAATCTTTTGAGTTTAACAAAGGCAGAAGTCAGTTTTTACTGTCATGATAATTGTTTATTTTTTGAAGAGTTGAGTCGATGAAGCAACAAGCACTTTGATCCACACCTGTTTTTTTCTCTCCATAGATTGACAGATGAAGAGAAAAATGAAATGGAAAACCATATGCAGTCACTCCATGAAGGTTATAAACTGTTATCTAATGAAGATTTGAAGCAGTTGCAGGAGAAGCAAAATGTAGATGATGAAAACATGCATGAGAAGGTAGCCTACAGTCTTTGTTACATTGCCGGCTATAGTATATCCTCTTCTTAGTTTGTTTTATTGCATGATTGTCTAACTATGTATTAATACTGAAAAACAAAACTTCAGAATTGTGTGTATCACAATAGCTGATCCTGTACTAAATGAATGACAGTTTTCAATATATTTATGCATTCAGAATTCTAGTTTGGTGAATGTAATGAAAGAAGAGACAGAGAGAATATATGAACTTTTATACTGTGTGCCTTGCATGAACTAAGAGCAAAAAAAATCATACACCACTTAACTCTTCTCTTTAAAAACCATGTTCTCAATTGTCTTCAACGTTTATGCTTCAAAAACATGACACTGAATGGAAGTTCCATAGACTATACTTTACCATGTGCTCTCCCAGAGGTATCTCCATAAAGTATTTTAGAAGTAATTTTCAGAGGAGTACTAATTTGGAACCTGTATACTCACAAACTGTGAGAAAGTTCGTTTAATCAATGGAGAGTTAATATATTTTTTTTAAAAAAATGTTTACTGACTCTGAAATGTCAAATGAGTTGCAAAATGTCAACAAGAGGAACTGTTTCGCATACAGATTTCCAGTCTTGTTTCCAAATGATAATTATTGCAAGCCATTCTCAGAATGCTTTCAAGTGGGTACAGTAGGTCATTCTGTATATTGAGTGTCTATGTAAAAGTGCTGTATGCTGTAAACATGAATAGCATGCATATTTTTATGCCATGTAATTTTCTGAATACTCTAACTTCTCACAAAGCACATAAACAGCATGACAGTTTGTCTTTCAGATACATGTCCTTTTTTGCTCACTATATGATCATCTACTTTGTTGTCTACCACTAACCCTATTGATGTATGCAGAGCATAGGCTTTTGGTTCACCAGTGCATGTCGTGTTTCAATCTTCTATCACACTGTGTGCTGTGAATCACTGACATAGATCACTCTGCATTGAACTGCTAACATTCACAGTCTTACTCCAACTTTGGTAAGTAAGCATGGTACACACATAAGTATTAAAATTCAAACATTTAACTCTTTACTGTATCTAAAATGCTTAAAAAATCATATTTTATACTCATTTATAGGTGGACAAAGTCATAGCTGGCATCATTGATCAAACAACTGGAGAGGTTTTTTCAGTCTTCCAGTCACTTTGTAAAGGTCTTATTGACTACGACACTGGCATTCGATTACTTGAGAGTCAGCTTATTTTATCGGGTCTAATTTCACCTGATGCAGGGAAGAGTTTTGACCTTGAAGAAGCAAGAGCTTGTAAACTTGTTGATGAACAAACTGCGTCACAATTACAAGTTTTGCAGAAGGCTAAGAAGATCATTTCAGAATCAGAAGGAACAGTGCTGCCAGTTATAGCTACTTTTGAAAAGGGACTAATTTCAGAATCTCTGGCTATTAAAATTCTTGAGATTCAGCTTTCCAGAGGACATCTAATGATACCAGCCACAGGCGAACAGCTGACCTTGCAGAAAGCTTTCCAGAGGAACCTTATTTCAGCAAAACTGTATACCCATCTGCTAGAAAGACGTGACATGTGCAGAGACCTTATTGATCCCAACACCACAGAAAAGATCTCCCTTGAAGAACTGCTTGAAAGAACTGTAATAAATAAAGACGCAGGCTTGAGGCTGTTACCTGTGACCCCTCAAGAGAAAGGCAAAATAGTACTGAAGTGTGGAAGAAAGATAAGTATCCTGAGAGCATCACATGAAGGACTCATAGAGAGAGACACCATGTTTAGACTCTTAGGGACTCAGATACTTTCTGGGGGTATAATTCACCCTGAAGCAGGACACAGAATGAGCGTTGAAGAGGCCATGAGAGAAGGGGTTATCGATCAGGATGCTGCTTGTGCTATTCTGACCCATCAGGTCCAGACAGGTGGGATCTTGTGTCCAAGCTTATCAAAGCGTTTGACTATAGATGAAGCTGTACAGTGCCACTTGATATCCTCTAGTAGTGCTTTGCTAGTACTGCAGGCACAACAAGCCTTCATTGGCCTCATCTGGCCACACAGTGGTGAAATATTTCCTGTATCTACGTCTGTACATCAAGGCATGGTCACAAATGAGCTGGCCTGCAAAATTCTAAATGGACGTCAAAAAATAGCAGCGCTTTATATCCCAGAGACATGTGAAGTGATCAGCCTGGATAATGCTGCTCGGCGTGGAGAAATAGATAGTAACACTGCATCTGTCTTGAGTACTGTCACCCTACCTGATAAAATGCCTAATGTGGATGATACAACATCCCCTTTTAAAAGGACTGCAAGATCGCTTACATATTGCAAACTTCACCCGTTTGTCCAACATGATGATAAAAAAGATGTAGATGCTTCTGACACCACCGCGGTCTCACCTTGCAGTTCAGAACAAACTCAAAAGTTATTCATTTCTTACCTACTGATAAATAGTTACATGGACGCGAACACAGGGCAAAGACTTTTGCTGTACTGCAGTGACTTAAGTGAAACTGTCAGTTTGTTGATGGATGGCAGTGAGTCTGAACATCTTGCAAGTGGGACTGCAGGGCAATTTTATGACACAAATGTAAGCACAGAAGCACCCACTCTTCAGCAGCAGCAGCAGCCTGAAAATGTGGTGCTTAGCTATAGTACCAGTGACCCTGTAGGCCAGCAGAGAAGTGTGCAAAATATTTCTAGTGACTGCAACAGGAAGGAGCCCTGTAAAAAAAGTCAGCACAGTGAGAAAAGCTCCGGCAGAAATTATGCTACTATTGTGGCTAGTGGCTCAGAGCAGTCAAAATGTGCTGTGAACAGTTTAGTTTGTAAACAAGAATGCGGATCTGGAAGGATGATTACTACTGATCAGAATCCTGGAAAAGAAAATGTATTGCAAAGTTTGGCAGAACGTTCTGAACAAATGCCAATGGAAGTGTGTGAAAAGGTAACTGAGTCTCCAGATGTCAGCACTGATGATGCTGAAGAGTCTGTTTCAAAATATTCACTAAGGAATCTTCTGTCAAAAATAAATGAAGGTAGTAGTTGCATTGTAGAGGAGACAAAGATCAAGGAGAATGAAAACAACTCTTTGGAAAGTGTGAATAATCTTTTAGATATACATTATCCAGTCATTAATAAAGAAGTAGTTCAAAAGAGCACTGATGTTTCACATCTTCCAATCAATACTGTGCAGAAATGTATTCCTAACATTTTGCAGTCTAAAGGAGAAATTATGTCAAAGAATGAAAATGAAGTAAATGATGAGTTTCAGAATAGTTCATACACAAGCATGGAATCTGGCAATAAACTTTTAAATAAACTTACTAAAGGAGAACGTGTGGCTTGCAATGAAGGTGAGATGCTGCAGTCAGAAACTAACAGTTCTTTGCTGCTATTTAACTACAAAGATGGGAACCACAGAGCTCCTTTGCAAGGCTTCACTGATTCAGATGGCGCATTACCATTAAGAGATCACACTCTAATGTGTGAAGTGCATCCGCTGAAAGACTGTGTTCACATGGAGCTGCAGCAAGAAGAGCTTGTAGGCATCGGTGACTGTCTGCCATTGGAAGAACCTACTAATAAATCTAGTGTTTGCCCATTGGAAGACCATACTAAAGCACAAGATGCATCAGCATTGGGATCCACAGATGATAAGCATCATCTATCACTGAAATATTGCTCCAATAACCATAGTATGCCCGTGCTGGAAAATCATACTTTTGCCATGGGTGAAGACAAAACCGGTTGCATTAATAAATTATTGCTGGAGCAACAGATTGAAAGTAGGTCATTGGAAAATTATGTTGATGAACATGACGGACAGCAGCTCATAGACCAGGCAAACTTGTGTAGCGTATCATTGTCTGACAATCATACCACTTGTGATGGGGTTCCTCTTCTGGAAAATCATAATGAACTTAGACAAAACGGGACGCTTCAGGGAGACTGTAACATTACTCATTTAGAGCTACCTCTGGAAGATTACATTGGTACAAATGCCAGACCCCCAGAGGATATCTGTCCTAACATTCTTAATGGACAGTCCATTAAGATTTACACTGATAGTCAGTCTAATATTAGTATTAATTGTGACCTGTCAGTACCACCTCGTGTATGCTCTGTGGGTGATATTAATGCAATAGTTTCACATGGCAGGTTGCTTCTGGAAGATATTAACAGTAAGCCTTCTGAGCCACTGCATGAAAACAAGTATAGCACTCTTCGGTCAGAAAATGGGAATGACTACAAAGACAGAAAAGACCCTTGTGGCATAGCTCAGCAAGCAGATAGTAGTAAGCAGGAGTGTGATGCTGTACAGGTGGAAAGTAATAGTGATTATTACCATTTGGCCAAAACTGATGAGGCTGACACCTTTGTGGTTAATAGTAATGTTTTTTTGGAGCCTGACATTAATGCAGTAGCCATCATGGCAACAGTAGAGAAGCCAGTAAGTATACAAGAAGGAGGAGAATCTTCTCAAATCAGCCTGAATAACAAAGAGGAAAATATTCTATGTTTTAGTGAATTAAGTGACATGAATGCATTTGAAATTATGAACACAGCAGCATTCAGTGCAAGGATACTAGACACAGTCCTAGAAAAGGTGGAAGAAAGTGTAGATGTGGAAAAGAAAGATCAGGAAAAAGAATGTGAAGAAAGAAAAGAGACTGACCTTACTCTTCTGCTAAAGGTGTGTAAAGCTACCTTGAAAGGAGTGGGACAGGAAGAAATCAGAAAGGATGAAAATGAGATAGATGAAAGTGAACATGAAAGCTTATGTGCGGATAATGATGGTGGTGATAATGATGACACTGAGGATGACTTTAACGATTATGATTATATGGATTTAGATGATGATACTAATGATGACACTGATTATGAGGATGAAGAAGTGATGGAAATGCACTATTCACAGTGTCGTGAAGAAAGTGCTAGGCTCCCGGTACCTGTACTTTTGGAAATGACAGAAAGCGAGAGTTTACATACAGAAAATAGTTTGCACTCAGAG